CTTGAAAGTGATATATAGTTTAAATAATATATAGCATTTTCGCAAAGTTTGGCATTGTTTACTTTGGTGTTTTCTGTCAATTGATAGTGATAAATTTTAGCTCATATTAGTTTAAAATTTACTTACAGGTCTAAATATTTTAATATACTATTTAGGAAAAAAAACTATAAGATCAAAAAATTAGCAAAAGTAAATATACCTTTAAACTCTATCAATACTCAAAATTAAGAGTTTATTTGACAATCAACTTATGATATTTTTAACATCAACAAATTACGAAAAAAAATTAATTAATCTTCTTCTAGCGAGCAACCATGAGAATTGAAGACAGATGAGATCGAGAATTTTCCGACCTGAACTTTTTCCCTACGCCTTGCATCTCAAGGCAATATTATTTGTAGTGCCCAAAATTTTGAAACATTCATCTAAGAGCAGTGGTAGGGGAACTTGCCTCTTGCACTCTCCGGCCAACACTTACCCTTCTATTGGGCCACGTTATTTTGTTTACCGAGAGGTTGCAGTTCAAGGCTAAAACAAGCTTACGTGGCCCAATGAAAGGGGAAGTATTGGCAGGAGAGTGCAAGCGGCGAGTGCTCCTAGCACTGGTCTTCATCTAATGCAAACCGCGTCTTGATTATTTGTAGGGCCCATATTATTTAAAGCAAACCGCGTCTTGATTATTTGTACGGTCCATATTATTTCAAGCAAACCGCCTCTTGACCTTTCAAATAACCAGTTTTTGGTCCTATCAGCTTCCATAGGCTAAGGTTTGTTTGGTGCAGTTTATTGAAATCTTTGCTTTTAGAATACTAATTATGAATAATAAATTTAAATTTTTATTGAAGAAAAAATTTAAAATTTGTTTTTAGAGATAAATAAATAAATAAAAAATAAGTAAAAAAAATTTATGAAAATTTTGAATTTGAAATTTTTGATTTTTTACTGTTTAATATCTTTTTAAAATTAAAAAAATATTTAAAAATATAAATTTTTAAAAGAAAATTTTAAATTTATAAAACATAAATAATATCAAAAAACTGAAGCATTTGGAAGCTACACCAAACACACCCTTACTAGCCTATACCTGTATTTTAACAATCTTAAAAGACAAATCCCATCATCACTCATAAACCTCACCCAACTTACGTCTCTTACCCTTTCTAATAATCAGTTTTCTGGTCCATTCCAGCTTCCATAGGTAACTTAAGGCAACTTACTAGCCTGCGCCTCTCTTATAACAATTTTAACAAACAAATCCCATCATCACTTGCAAACCTTACACAACTTTGCGATCTCTTCCTTTCTTATAACTTACTTAATGGCATGTTGCCACCTTGGATTTTCAACCTACCTTTCTTAGAGTAAGACGTATAAAGTTTGGCATTGTTTACTTTTGTGTTTTCTGTCAATTGATAGTGATAACCGTTAGCTCATATTAGTTTAAAATTTACTTACAGGTCTAAATATTTTAATATACCATTTAGGAGAAAAAATTTATAATATGAAAAAATTAGCAAAACGAAAAACACGGTAAACACCTTTAAACCCTATCAAGACCCAAAGAATTAAGAGTTTATTCGGCAATCAATTTATGATATTTTTAACATCTGCAGATTAGGAAAATGAATTAATTAATCTACTTCCAGCAAGCGGCTATGAGAATTAAAGATAGATGATACCAAGAATTTGGACTCATTCTGAGTACAATGAGCATTTTCCGACCCGAACTTTTTCCTACACTCCTTGTTCATGCCTTTCACATAACATTAAGACGTATAATGTTTCTTTTAGGATTCTGCTCTTGTTCTTCCCTCTTGTTTGTGAATTGGTATTCTTTCCATAGAAAAAGTTCATATATTAATTGAAGATTACAATGAAAGAGAAACAAAGTCAATGCTTATTAAGTTAATGTTTATTATTTTCTTCTTTCATCTCTTGAACTCAATTTAGATTAGTGAAGGTGTGTTTGGTAAAACTTAAAAAATATTACTTTTTTCACAAATTTAAAATTTTATTAGAGAGAAATACTTCAAATTAACTATTTAAGTGTATTTTAGATAAATTTTTAAAAAATTATACATCTAAAATTTTTTCAAAACTTAATTAATATTCACTTTCAAAAACAATTTTTAATTTCCCGTAAACAAAATTTCAAACTTATAAATAGTACTTTAAAACAAATGTTTTTTGACATTTGCTAAACACCTTTAATATATTTGAGAAGAGCCTTTAAAAAATAAAATTTCAAATACTTGCATTATTACAGGAGTAGTGGGGTGAGCACAGAGCAACTTTTTTCATTGTGGCCTTCATATAATATTAGAAGAGACTAGTGGATCATCATTAACCATAGAATATGCATAATAACATAATTTTTTGTTTAGCGAGGAATTGATTCTAAGAAAGCAATTACAAGGAAACATCTGAAATTAATGCGAGTGACTGTCATTGACTAACGTTGCAGAAGAGCTAATAAGTGGAATCAACTCTGCAAATGCAATAATTCTTTTGAGTCTTTTAGACATTACAAAGGACAAGTAAAGCTAGAAGCAAAAACAAAGTCTTTTCCAAACTGCATCAATATTAGTGGGAAAGCAATTCAAATTAATTATTTATGATCATCAAGACTTGACCAATCAAAGATAGGCATATATATGTGGTTCGTTCCCCCTTTGAATCTATGGTTACAAAAAGACCAAAAGGATTCACCTTTTAACATACAGCAATATGTGTATTTTTTTTTTTTACTTTTTAATTTAGACACTATTGTATAGGATTGTCTCACATGGTATACCCCTTTTGTTCAAGTAAGGTGTCTAATAATTATTTATTTTAATCATGCACTATTATACCATAATTGTATAATAGAAGTGCATATTACATTTGCTCACTTAAGCACCATTGTACATTATGGTCTACTAGGAATGCATATATCACATGTATTTTATTGTATGGGCACCATTATACCTTATTGCATAATAGGAGTACTATATAAAATTTCAATTAGGCACCATTAGTCTCACCACCAATAATACTACAAAAAGGATACCTCTTCTTAAAAATTTCTCCATCCATATGCAATCTCCAATGGTGGAAATATCTCAAATATATAATTTTTACATTTTTCAAATAATTGAGTTTATATAAAAAATATATATATTTCCTCATATTTTTTTTATAAGAACTCATTTCATATATAATTGATCACACAAGTTTAAAAAGTTAGATTACATACCTGCAATATATGAACCAAAATTATCCGATAATTTTGTCAAAATGCATGGACCATCTATATAAGAAAAAAAATTTATATGGAATTGATCCCATACCTTTTTTTGATAAACTCAACAAAGCATATAATTTCAATTTTTTTGTAAAAATATATGAAGTTTAGGAGCAGCTTCTCAACAAAGCATATAATTTCATTTTTTTTTTTTTATAAATATATGAAGTTTAGGAGAGCTAGCTGCTTTGATATGAGAAATATTAATGC